GCGAACCTCGTTCAAATATGTATCCCAGATTCATTGTTATTTATTTTGTCATATTTATCAGTTCTTGATGCTAATTCTTCTTTTGCCTCTTCATTGCTATCTTTTTGACTTGAATTGGTTTCATTAATAAAGCAAGACACAATTTTTTCCTTGTGCTAAAGAGGCTCAAACAAGAGCGTCTCTTGCGAGTCCTGAAAACAAATATAAGCAATTCAATATTCCATTTCTTAACCATTATAACAATTACATGGAAAAAGGCTATCAGAACTAGCAACCTTAACTTGAAAGATGTACATGCATGTAAGTTTACAGCTTATATTCCGCTTCTAGTAAACCACCTGGCAGATTTGACCCAGTCTTTATAACCATCCATATATACGTCACCGAATGGAACTAGTTAAGAAGGAAATCTTATCTGTGAATCTTGCCTACAGGCAAGAAAGAGGACATGCTGTCTTTCCCATCCGCCATTTTTTGTTATCGTTACCGCAAAATTTTGCAAATCGCCTTGTTGTAACCATCATGCTATAACACCGTGTTAATGGCTAAACAGATACCTTGATATGTAATAAATATAGAGTATACATCTATACATGTAAATCTGAATTTCTATACGCATTCTATCAAGAGATCCTTCCTGAAATATGTCTATATTTTGTCAATATTTTTCATGTATTTATAATTTAAATCTGAAAATCGTAAAAGATGCGAAAACCCTACAAAGGAAGTAAGAGACTGCATGAAGAAAAATCTAGCTAAAACAAAAAAATAAAGATTAGTATAAATAAATTGTTAATCCATATACTAGTATTAATCTAAATCCAAATCAATAGCAATAATAATGTGAAACACTTCAATTACATAGCCAGTGGGGGGGGGGGGGCAGAGGGTTCGAGCAAACCCCCTCCCCCTGGTCAAAAAAATAAATAAGTAATTTTGATGTGATTTTTGTAAAGATATAAGACATATAAACATAAAAACATTGAACAAAAACTATGGTGTTACATAAAACAAGAATATCTTACCTAAATCTGCAACATTATTGAACTTGCAAATCAGATATTTTATGTTGATGTCAGTCACAGAATTCCCTTCGGCAATGGGGGATTCCCTTACTTCAAATGTTTAAAAGCAAATTTTCACCATAAAAGGAAGACATATCAACAAAATATTATATCAAAATACAAAAGATTACTCATAGATTGATATTATTGTTATCATATGTTAACTTTCTCAATGAAATAATAAATATGCTTAAAAACGATCTGAAATTTTTACATTGGAAAATTTTCTGCGCCATTTTGGATATAAACTTGGCGAAAATTGATGTGGTCATTTGGGTCTGGATTTCTCCATTTTTGATTCATATTATGCACAAATAAACTAGCCATGCATGATAAGAACACAAGGAACCCGATTCGGAGGATATATTTAATCGGAAGCCGCAGCCAGAAATGGAAATTAATAATGAATGAAAACTTACCAGTCAGTTTACAGATTTATCCATGTAAATTTGACCTTTGACCTCATTTGGAGCACCTTTTACCTCTTTACTAACAGTCCATCACATAAAATGAGGGATCTGTCATTTTTATCTGGGAGAAAAATGACGAGCCAAACCATGTATTTTTACGGGGTCACTTTTCTGACCAACTTATTTTTCCCGCCAAAACGCGCCACCTATTCATTGGTCATTGCTACTGCATCCATAAAATGACCACACAAAAATATGACTCTCGTACTGACCTTTATTTTTTCCATCTGTCAGACATTGATTGATCAATATTTACCCTTTTTTTTTATTATTATATCTTGGTTACCGCCATATTTGGCGAGCAATACCTCATTGGTATATTCCGTATTTTACGTATTTTACACTCGAAGATAGAGCCAGAAACCCCTCCTTGGAGGAACCCTGTTTTCTTTTATGTGCACAGGTACACAGACGTACAGGTACACACCACAGCCTTTTATACGAGTAGTGAACCACTCAGTCAAACACCCAGAATTACATAACGCACAAACAAACTTGTCTGAACCGGGAATCGAACCCGGGGCCAAGCGATATTGGTAACCTTGACTCTCTCTGCCACTGAGCCATAGCGGGTGGAATCTCTTCTTTATGTTTTAGTTCGAATGGTTGCATGATATCAATTATTGACACTGTAAATCAAATTTTCCGGGTACATTTCTTTCAAATTTTCAGAGCGTAAAGATAATGGAGTGTTTTGGTAATTTCCGGCAATGTCCGATGTTGTTTGTCTCTCAAATTATGTCACATCACAACAAACAGCCAATGAAAGTAAAGATTGTGTAGCCTAACAAACCGTTGTTATTGTTTCTACAGGATTTTAAAGATACGTCATGGGGTTTCTCGGTAATCTCTGATGTGACATCATCCAGAGTGGCGTCATATTGTCAGAAAAGCCATTTGACTTCAGGACAAAAATGATACGATTAAATAAACATTTGAACAACGGAAATTGCTGAAGCACTCCATTAAATATATACTCGCTTATTTTATGCTTTTATCAACAGACGTTTTCTTGAATGTGTGGCTTTAGTGATTGGACATGAAGTTAACAATAGTACGCACCGTTTGAGGTATGACATGTGATATTTATTGATTAACTGACTCCAAAATCAAGGAAATATAAATTTTCCAAAGATTTCGTGTCTTGTCCTTGAGTATATTTATTGAGCCTAGACACCACTGAAGAAGAGGTAATCTGGCAGAGGTCCGTGTTCAGTACCAAGCAAAGGTAATGGCTGTAACCTTGGGACTATGTAGATAATAATCATGTTTTTATTTTTGAGTTATTTTAAACTGTCCATCAAAAGTGCAAAATAAGATTTTCTTGGAATGTGTACATTCTCCAATTATGAAAACCCAAAGACAATGCTTATGTATGAAATAAGGGGAGTTGCTACCCTTCTAGTTGAAAACCCATGGTGCTTCCTACTGATTAAATTCACCATATTTTATGAGATGTTAATTATCCCATCGAACGAAGTTCGGAGGGATATAGGGAACGCCTCCGTCCGTCCGTCCGTACGTCCGTCCGTCCATCCGTCCGTACGTACGTACGTCCGTCCGTCCGTCCGTCCGTCCGGGCAATAACTCAAATACCATTGGCCCGATTTTGTTCATATTTTGTACACATATACCCTATGGGGGTAGAAGTTCTGCTCGAAAGCCGATTTTCAAAATGGCCGCTCATTTCAAAATGGCGGCCATTTTAGTGCCGAATTTACAGTAATTTAGGTGCAATATGTAAAACTGTAATAGCAATATGTTTGAGATGTAAAAAAATTATATAGGACATTAATAAAGCTAGAAATGTAGATATTAAAGAAGCACATAGCAGCCATCTTGAAAAATGGCGGCCTTTACTCGTTATTTTACGATTTTTGCTGTAACTTGTAAAGTAGTGGAGCGATTTTGTTCATATTTGGTATGTGAATACTATAAACATTGCACACTGCTTAAAGACACTTTTGGTAGAAGGCGGCCATTTTGAAAAATGGCCGCCATTTTGAAAAATGGCCACCATTCTAACATATTTTACTATAACTCGAAAAGTAGTGGAGTGATTTTGTTCATATTTGGTATGTGAATACTATAAGCATGACACACTGTCCTATGACACTTTTGGTAGAAGGCCGCCATTTTAACGTATTTTACTATAACTCGAAAAGTAGTGAAGCGATTTTGTTCATATTTGGTACTAATACTATAAGCATGGCACATGGTCTAATGACACTTTTGGTAGAAGGCGGCTATTTTGAAAAATGGCTGCCATTTTTGCTATATACTTTCTTTGTAAAAATGCCATCCATGGCTGTTCGATGGGATTCGCTACGCTTTGGCGTTGCCGTTGTTCTGGTTTCTAATGATTTATTTTTCTCTATATTGTATTGTATTATATCCTTTATTACCACATTATTTCTATGTGAGTACATATTTACATCAACAGGTTGCATTTTTATTATCCCAACGAACTTCGTTCGTTAGGGATATAGTGAAGTCCTCCGTCCATCCGTCCGTCTGTCCGTCAGTCAGTCAGTCAGTCCGTCCGTCTGTCCGGAAGATAACTCAAATACTAGTTGACAGATTTTCTTCATATTTAGTGGAAAGATGTATATTGGTGAATTTTTTTCAAGATGGCCGCCGCTTTAAAAATGACGGGACTTTTTCGCAAAAATCATAAATTTTTCATTCTAAACCAAAGTAATTAATATTATTGTTTGAAATTTTGGTAGTGTATTCACAACATTTATCTATTTCACATATATTCCATGTTTTTCATCCTGACCCCCAGGGGCCATGTATGGGGGACAGGAAAACAGAAATTTTCGCTAATTTTTAGATCTTTCTGAAGTATAGCTTTATTATACTCAAATGAAAGGCAATTAAGAGTAGATTGCAAATATTGTATCTTTTTTCTGATTCGAGCCTCGTAAAATTCAAAATGGCCGTCTAATGTACGATTTCGCAATAATTTTTCGATCCCTTCAAAGTATGGTTATATTATACTCAAATTGAATTTTGGAGTAGATCACAATTATGGTATTATTTTTCAGATTTGTACCTCAGAAAATTCAAAATGGCTGCTTTGCAGGAATTCGCAATTCTAAAATCTAATTTTTTCATTTTCAACCAAAGTAATGAGTATAATTGATTGGAATTCGGTAATTGATATTTTGTTCGTTGGGATTTGCTACTCCGCGGAGTTGCCGTTATCTAGTTTGCCTTGGCCTTTAAAATCATCATCCTCTTAAAAATCTGGAGACATTATTGTGGCCATATGAAGAGGTGTTCACTTCCTTTCTTTGAATCGATATGTCCATGTAAATATCTGTAATTTTCCAAATGTTTCCAAACCTTAAACTATTTTATCATAAACAGTCACAGTGTGAGCCAATCGAATTGCCCATCAATGTTTATATAAGTCCAAAATTCATCTCTGAATTCAACATATTAATGTCCATGATTTCAGATTTAAACTGCTTGTCAGTACTCTTGATGGGAGAGTCTCTTCATTGGATATAGCTAACTATGGAAATCTAGAGTGGAGTATTGAAGCAGATGCTGCTCCACTGTTATCATCAAGCATCAGTAAAAACTTAGAGGTAATTTTTGTAGGTTATTTGCTTTTGTAGTATACATATGGGATATATAATTGTTGTTGTTGTTGTTTACATTGGTAGGAAAGCCAACCACTCTAATATGTAAATCAAGCCTCTTGAGCAAGTAAATTGACTCATGTTATGAATTTACCAAATCACCTCTTCATCTGTCCAGCTTAGCACTATAATGCACTAAATAGAGAAAAAAGAGGATGGAGATAGGAGAGTCCAAGTTCCCTACCTAAAAGTTCTACATGCAATAATGGAAAGTTTGTTTTTACTAGATCAAACGTAATGGAATAAATGTCCGTCTTATCCCAGCGTTAGATGGTGGCCTTTATCAGTTTGATGGTGACAGTATAGAACCTGTTCCTTTCACTGCAGACACATTACTGAGCTCATCGTTCAGGTAATAATCATACTCATGGTGTACAATCCAAACGCTCCTACATGCACGATGGAGCGTTTCATTCATGCAGAAATGCTTCGGAGCGAAATAAAATGGTGGTTTATGAGGATCCCACAGTGGCCTTATGTATTGTTTCACTCTTTTCTCTTATGTGTCATATGTCATGGTGACATATTATGTACCATTCGATGAACAATACCCTGAGGAAAGATTTTATTAATTCAACTTCTGGTTGTAAACTGTTATTTGCTTGATCAGAGCTCCATAGTGTAAATCGAAGCAGTAGATCACAAACTCAAATATTCTCATTTGCTAAAATTCCAGTCCAAATCAATCACTTGTTTTCAAGAAAACGTGACAAATACGTTTATGAATTTTGATAACTGCACTGCTTCGTTCACTTCTTCCAAATTGCTTCAAATATCAACAGCCAGCCAAGTAAAACATGAATATCACACTACTCGAATGGTATACACGAAATAAGTAACACATACCTCTTATTCCCATTATCAGCAAAATTGTTGGATGGCTAATCATTTCCGCCCACCATTTTTCTACCTCTGGAGCGTTTCTCTGTTTAGATTCATAAATGAAACGCTTGGTCGTGCATGTAGGAGTGAATGGGTTATATACAGTGATACTGTGCTGTGTTATCATTGACTTCACCTTTTTAAAATCAAATTATTGTTTTGAAAATCAAATCTGGATATTTTAATGCTTCAATAAAGACTCATTATAGCTCCACAACTTAATAATGGGTTCATTCAATTTTCATGCGATGAAAGAAATATATTATGAATATATTATGATTTCTGATTGTGAAATAGATTGTCTCTTAAACTCTAAAGCTCTCTTTTTGTTGTATGAGTTGTATTTGACAGGGGGAAGTGTTGCATTGTTACAGAAATGGCTTACAACAATATGTTCTCTGTTGTTCTCCTAAATAGGTGTAACTTACATCTCTAATACTGAACAGATTGAGCATAGCTTTGGATTTTGATTTCAGGTTCACCGATGAGTCCGTAATTGTTGGAAATAGAGAGACTCTAACATTTGGTATAGATGCAACTGATGGACAGGTTTGTATTCTAATTTTTTAACACATACAGTGAGACTCATGTTGTGCATCTGGGCCTATCAAACCAAACACTTCATAAACCTCTACCTACATTTAGTGAATACATACCCTACCAGATTAAAACTTTTGCTACATGAAGTTGACACAAAGGGACAAGTCAGGACATTCATTCTACACTGGCATGTAGCGGCCCTGATATCGATAAATTCTACACGCAATATAACCCGATTTTAGATGCTTGGTTAAAACTTTACACGAAAAAGCCTCGATATCCGGGCATTTACTCTTACACTGAACTGAAAATAGCATCATCTAAACGTGTATGTCTTGGCTTCCGGGTAAGTTTATCAACATTTATACTCAATTGAAAGAGCAGTCGTGCATATATCGTGTACCAGTTTGATTGTTTTATATGTGTGTGTATTTATAATATGATAGTCTAGTAATACCGTGTCGTTAGAACAAGTGCTAGATATCGAACTGATGACCTGAAATTAGATTATTGGACTGATCGCGCATCTGATATTAGATGATTAATTTGCATTGAATCTGATATTAACTTGCAACCCAATACTACAGTAAATACCATGATTTTACATTAGAATGATAACACGGCCTCATATTCTAATTCATTATACGTCCATTGCAGGGCAAAATGTTTCAATGGGGATATTGTAATGCACATGAGAATACATTCGATTCGTATATATTGACACCCCAGTTGTCCGAAACCCAATTCCCCGAAACCCAGTTGTCCGAAACCCATTACTCCGAAAAATAAAGTCATAATTTACCAGAGAAAGGGGGGGGGGGGGGGGGCGTAGCTTACTTAAGCTTACGTCAGTTTCATGCCATGTATTTGGCCAAATTAATGGCATGGACGCATTCTGATATTCATAGATCTCTCTCTCACTTTGAATTGCATCCATTGCATGGCGTTACCAGAATGGCAGGAACGGGAGATTTATTTTACATTGTGATTCTAAAAAAGGTTATTAAAACACAATATATATTACGGAACAGTTTATCTTATCTTCTTCAATCTCTTTTATATAGGCAAAATAAAATGAAACATTTTGAAACAGATAAAATAAGGTATAGAACTTTAAGAATAAAACAGTATACAAATTACGTTGTCAAAATATTTCGTCGCATTTAATTTCTTAGTCTCAGTCTCTTATCAAATCGTAAAAGAATAAAACATTCTAAACTTAATCACTTGGGATTTATGTTTCGGCATTCGTTTCAGGCATTTGTTTTTTATGTTCTTCTCCTGAAATGTATTTGTTTGACAATAATCAGAGAAAGTGCGTATACGTATAAATATGCCACGCAAACAAACGGGTGTGACTTCAATTTCTTGTCTGTCTGAGGACGTATTGGGAACGAGGTAGAATTAAAGAATTCTTATGAACAAATGTATTGGATAAGTTAATTTCTGATGGATCTGGATAAAATATATTTCAAAACTTTGTCAACACTAGATAACTTCATTTAGGCAGATATAGTTTCTTGATATATTTGGCTATCATGCGTTTAAAATACGTTCCTAAAACTATGAAGACGTTGGGTGAGAAATATTGCTATTGTACGTTCGAAAAGTATTTGGTTGTATTTTGTAGTTCTCAAGTTACCCATGAACTTTCGTGGGGTAATTAACGTCTTGACTCAGCATATTTAGCCTAATTTTGCAATGATGTCAACGTGATTCAAATGTTATGCTGTCGTGATTCGCAGAGGTTGCGACAAGATTCGTTTTAAGAAATTGTATTTTTTGATAAGATCCCCTAATTTTCGGAGAACTTGGTTTCAGACAACTGGGTTTCGGAGAATTGAGTTTCGGACAACTGGGTTTCGGACAACTGGATTGACCCCTATGAGGGTTGATCATACATCAATTGAACATTGAGATTTTCCTGTACACTTTTCCCAAACATGTGGAATAGACTAGATGCGAGTAGAAATTATCTTGATTTATCCTATGCCAAGTAGGGTTTTAGGGAGATAAGTTGGTAAGATATATCCCGTATCCTGATTTTGAGGTTTCCATATCAAGAACCTCCATATCTCCCGTTATATCTCCCGCTTCGGTGCATATCTTCCCGCTTCGGGTCGTATCTTCCCGCTTCCAAAAAAGTGGAAATGCAATAAAATGACTTTGCATATGAATGATTTGTTTATTTTTTACACCTTGTGCTACTGAAAACTCTACTTGGTATAGGATAAAGCAGTTATGTACGGTCGGTTTGGATATTGGGTTCATCCCTCGTGAGATATGCACATCTACTTTCTGTCCCTACGGTCCCTCAGGTAGATATGCATATCTCCCTCTGGCAAAACCCCGCATCCAAAACCTCCCAGTACATAACCCATATTTATCCCATGGTTACAAGGATATAGATCGAATATCACGTGAAGATATAATTGATACGTGGATGAAGATATCATATTTTAGCAAACAATTCCCAAATCATCGAATATCACTTTTGAAACCATCGAATAGCACTTTTTGAAAGGTGATATTCGATGGTTTCAAATTGATATTCGATGGTTTCAAAAGTGATATTCGATGGTTTTGATTTTTTCAATTTTTTTTATTAATTCAGCAAAACGATTGTTTATGAATACCTAGCAAGAGCTCAAAAAGTTCAATCATCTATTTATCTCAAAAAGACCTCAAAAACTGAGCTTGAATTAGAAATATGTCTTCTAAAATCTTCCTCGCCTGGACCTGATGGGATTCTACCATCACTTATTAAGTCTGTAAGACAGTTTTTAATTGATCCGCTCTTGTATATATTTAACTTATCTTTTAAATCTGGTATTTTCCCAGACGCCCTCAAATTGGCCAAAGTAACACCTGTATTTAAAAAAGGAGTCACTACAAATCCTTTGAACTATAGACCAATTTCAGTTTTATCGGTATTTTCTAAATTGTTAGAAAAGCTCATGCACGCCAAACTCAATGGTTTTTTAGAACGTTTTGAAATTATTTTTACTTATCAATTTGGATTTCAGAAATTCAACTCTACCTACATGGCCATTTTATATTTCATTGAACAAATTCGAAAATCAACTGATTTGGGGAAAACGAGCATTGGCATAACATTAGATTTTTCCAAGGCATTGGACACTATTAATCATGACATTTTGATACAAAAACTTGAATATTATGGCATCAGAGGAATAGCTAAGTCCTGGTTTGAAAGGTATTTAAAAGACTGCAAACAATATGTCACCATTAACAATTATGAATCTAAACAATCATCTCTAAATTGTGGTGTTCCGCAGGGCTCGGTACTTGGACCACTATTATTTATTCTTTACATAAATGATCTGCCTTTTGTTGACCCTAATCTAAAATTTATTATGTTTGCTGATGACACCAATCTTCTTGATAGTGATTATGATTTAAATGAACTTATGACTAGAACTAATGCAAACTTGAATTAAATAGATGACTGGATAAAAGCAAACAAACTTTCACTTAATATTGGCAAAACCAATGCTATTCTATTTGGACCCCAGAAAAAATCAAAAAAATCTGAATCTCAAAATACGCAATGAGAACATAAATTTCCGGGATAAAATTGACTTTCTTGGAATTATTATTGATAAAAACTTGAAATTTAAAGAGCACATAAAATCTATTGAAACAAAGATTTCTCGCGTCATTGGTTCTCTTTATCACATTAAACATCTACTTCAAATAGACAGTTTCAAAACAATTTACTACTCATTGATACACTCTCAATTAAATTATTGCAACATAATCTGGGGTAACACATTTAAATCATTTTATGATCGTCTACATAAACTGCAGAAACAATTCTTAAGGCTAGCTTTAAATAAGGATAGACCTTCTCACTCCGCTCCCTTATTTGAAGATCTTAACATATTAAATATTTTTGATGTCAACAGATATTGTACTGGTCAGTTCATGTACAAAATCTTTAATAAGCACCCCAGTCTTCCAAAAAATCTATTTCAAGACTTGTTTGATATCAACATTAATATTCATCATCATTACACAAGACAATTGCATTATTTTCATATCCCTAAATGCTCTTAACTTTCCCTTCGCTATCTAGGTCCTAATCTTTGGAATGCTCTACCACATGATATTAAAAAATGCTCCACTCTAAATATTTTCAAATCTTCATATAAAAAACTACTCATCTATCGATAATGTATAATACCAATATCATACTATACTGTTGATTTTATACTGATACCTGATTTTTGTAACATTTTTACATTGTACATCCTTAGATTAATTGTTAATACCATTTTTATATACCTACATGTAACATAATATAAGTGTTTTCTTTTATATGTAGTCTAGATGTCATTTTAATGATTTCTGTTAGACCGCAACATATACCCACTAGGGTGTCTAGCGGCTTGTTTTTATAGTGTATATTATATAAGAATTATGAAATAAATTGAATTGAATTGAATTATATATTTATTATATATTTTTATTTTTTGGGATCCTGTTTTTACGGCGTTCGCATTAAATACAAACCACTCTGTTACGTCACGTATATGACGTTCGTTGAATTATCGCAATCAAAATGTCAGACGAAATGGAATTTCCATTACAATTTATCTGACTATTCAATGTTCGCTGGATAATAATTCCCAATGGGATAAACGGACAATCCTATAGTTTTTCAAAAATATCACTTATATCCACTCATGGATATCAGTATCTTCACTCATTCGCTGCGCTCACTCGCGAAGATATCAATATCCACTCATGGATATAAGTGATATTTCAGAGCCATAGGATATTCCTATATTATTCCATAGTTAGCATGATATCCATAGAATAACATGTCAAAATAAAAACGGTATTTTTGAAATCAGTGGTAAAATATGATATTTTTGGCAAATTTTCACCCATAGCATACGGTGTTTTAGCCATGACATGCGGCGCCATATGTCATGGTTTGTGGATTTTTGCTACTTCAGGCTCAAAACGAGGCTAAGTGTCAA